TAAAAAATAAAAATATGAAAGAAAATAAAATTATGAAAGAAAATAAAAATATGAAATAAAAGTGATTGGATAGAATGTTGAATTTTATTATATAAAACTATTGTAATGAATAAAAGTTGAATGAATGATAAATTATTAAATAGAAGAAAGAGAATATGATATAAAATATAAAAAATGGAAGAAAAAAAAATTAAATATATAAATTATTGTACATAATTTTAGATATCATACTCCACTTTAGTTTAAGAGACTAGCTTCTTTAATTCTTTTAAAATGTAGAATGTGGAAGGTGGGTGGGAATATAAGGAGATATGATGTGAGATATACGTCCAGATCCAATATTTCATATAGTGTCTGAAAATAGGTTACTAAGCTAAATTCTTTATTTAATAAAATTCATGAACTAAAGTAATTTACAATTATGCCTTTCTAACTTTTAATAAATAATTTGGATTTTAAAATCTAAATTAAGAAGTTACCGATATAAATTCGGATACACCCCAACATATTTGAATATTTAGCAAACTTTTTTTTTTAATTTACGAAAATTTTTAACCTCCTCTAACTAATTTGCATTGTCTAAATAACAAAATTATGAAGTAACCAATCAGAAAATAATCTAAAATATTTTTTTACTGCTAAAATTTCAAAAACTAAACAAGAACAATTACAAACATAGTATGAAAATAATTGATATAAACCAAGTGTTATCAGTAATGAAAAAAGTGAGTTAGCGACCCCGTTGATATTTAATTTGATTTATGCTTTATAAAAATGGTTTAAAAAGACTGAGAATTGATAATAAAAATTATAGAAATAAAGTAGATAAATACCTAAGATGATGGCTAAATGAAAACAACAAAACATTGCAGATTAACCAAATTCGAACTAGCATGTGATGATGTTTTTGAAAAATTGCCATTAAAATGTGGTTTGATGGGCAACCATCTTCTTTTCAATAAATGGTTGATGCTTAGGGCTAGTTGAGTAGTATTGATCGGATAAAACTAATTGTAATTTAGGGTTAGTTTGTTTAAAAAAACAATTTTTAATGTGTTATATAACTTTGTTAAGAAAAATATAATATTTTTTTTTTATTTTAAAAATGGTTCAAATAGTTAGATTATTGAATATCAAAATTATTCTTTTAATTTATAAAAATCAATTTAAAATAATTTTAACTATTTTATTAAAATTCACATATATTTTTTTATTAAAAGATCAAAGAAATCTTTTAATCTATAAAAACGGGTCCTAAATATTTGATTATTAATCATCTAGGTTGGGCTTTAACCATGCTTTTGTTTGTGGTCCAGTTGAACAAGAAATAGAAAAACATAAAGCGGTCTGCTTTAAACACATTAAATATGGCTTCTCTAGTGAAAAATTAAAATCATCTATAAAATTTAGAAATGCATCTTCTAAAGCATCCATTCCCACACAATTCATTTGTTTTTTATCCTCGTCTCAACTCTATGACTAAATTAAATTTGAAATGCATCTCCGTGTAATTTACAGAAGTGCATTTCTAGAATCTACTGAACCAAAAACAAATGTAGAAAAGGAGAAAAATTAACATCGATAATTGTCGTGACATACATAAAAAAATGAAACATTACATAGATAATCGTTAACATAAATCGAACAATACATTTGATCATTAAGTAGAATGTTTCTACATTTTCGAAATATCTTTGTTGGATCTCACAATTTTTGCATCCAGCTTGATCGAACCTTATATTTTATAACGGTGAAATGTATTCCATATAACTCTTAAATCTTCATTCGTTTTTAGCTCAAACTTGTTGAACTGAATGTTTCCTTTGTTGTCAATCTAGGGTGAACGGTACTTGAGTTTCACAACTTTTCGATTTTGAGTATTCTAAGAAATTCTTCAGTATGAATTCCAGATCTACAAGAGAGGTGTACTCAATGACCGTAAATTCAAGTGAGCGTTCACACTGTTGAAGTAGAGAAATGCGACATGCCAAAATATATTCATTTTGGTGTGATTTAATTTTGTTAAAAAGATGAGATGAGATATTCATATTTATATAATATTTAGACTAATATGGACCTCAGAAATTCAATCTTGTCTCAATGGATATTCTAGAGATGTAATTTCAGATACACCTTATTTTTGTGGTGAAATTTGTGAAATTAAGATGCATACGAAAATGCATTTCTGAATAAACTCTTTTTCATATTATTTTTAAAAATATTTGGGATGAATCCGAAAATGAATCTTCGAATTTACCCAACACTGTTCACATATAACCTATTTCAAAAACATGTTCGATTATAGAAATACAAAATTGAGAAATATTTTTTAAAACTGAAACTTATATTGAAATCTATGAAAATGTATATTTGACATCACTAATGTTAATCCAAGATTACATACAAAACAAGTCTAACCACATAAATACATTATTGAATAAAAACTAAAATGAATTGAAACATCTGTCATCGGCTAAATCTATATCTATGGGTGTTCCGCCTTTAACTTGGGTTTATTTTACCACTAAAAAAAACATATAAATTGTGGCGGTTATCTTAAGCCTATTGTGGCGGTTTTAACTGCCGTAATTTACTATAACGGTGTTTTTTATACAGTTATAGATTTGGCTGCCGCTAGGAAAATAGTAGCAGTTAATATTTTCCGTGCAAACTGCCGTTGTGTTTTACTGAAAATTGTTGCGGTTTCAAACGCCATACATTTCACATGAGAACAACTATCTATAAATTATACATCGTTTTAAACTGCCATAATTTTCTCCTTGTATTAGCCAAAATAAAATTGAATATATATTTTGCAACACAATTTAACACCGAAATTAAAAATATATTAAATTACATAAATAAATTTAGCACCACCAATTTACTGTTAAATGCATTCTTATGAATAAAATTTAAAGGACCTATATTAAAAACCTAGAATATACATGTATATTAGTTAGTACAATTCTTCAACTTTTTCAAAATTAAATAATAAATTTAAATGTTCGATCCAAGTATCGCCAGCTATTCCCAAAATATTAAAACATAAAAATGATTAGTAATTCATGTGTCCATTATCTTAAGCTATTTTCTCAAAATCAAAAGTTTTAGAACATAAAAGTAGAATAAAAAATATTATGTGTTATTTGAAGGACTCTTATGATTTTCTTCATGTGTATTGCTTACATTAGATGATCTTCTTATGTCATAAGGTGATGAAGGTTTACTTCTGTCTCAGAAACCTATGAAAAACAGAACAATTATTATATTAGAACTAATCACTGCAGAAATATAGAATACAAATATAAATGTAAAATTAAACACATAAACCATACACTAAATTAAAGGTCAAACAAAGAAAATTAAAAACAATAGCAATACACGAACTAATGAATCACATTTTGTCTACTTATTTTTAAAACTGAATTATACTTCTATTTTATAACCGAAGTCCTCACTACTTTTCTCAGAAGTTACAGATGTGGGCCTAAAGGATCAAATGGATTACTCTATGTGATAGAGCATATCTAAGGTTAAGCCTTAATTAAGCCCATCTTAAAGGAAAAAGTAGAAATTAATAAAGAATTTCAAGTGTTAAAATATCAAGTGACAAAAAAATAGACAAAAAAAAACAACCGACCCAAAAAAATTGCATTTTAATAAGTATAACTAGAACGAAATGGCTAATTTGTCCCAAAAAATTGCCACAAAAGGCAAACATATTTGGAAAGAATAAGGAATTAACTATTAGAATGACATGGGATATTTACTAGTCAAATGATTAAATGTAAGCTTTAAATTGGACAACCATACCCACTGCATCGATTAAGAAATTTTGAGATGCATAGTCAAGTTTTAATCTATAATTTATTTCTTCTTATAAATTAAGAGCTATGTTACCATATCATATAATAAGATTCTCAAATCATGGTTCTATTTCTAGGCTAGTTATTATCATAGCTACAGTCACCTTAGAGGTCCAAATTCAAGTATCTATTTTAACTAAACACATTTAAAAGTTGAAAGATAACTTTTTATTACAAACTTGAAGTTTAACTTCCACAATATTTGGACCATCTTTACTCGAAACAGGCTCATCACTGTTGACAATAATGATTTCGACATGATAAAACATTTCCTTAGCTTAAATGAACCAAAGAAAAAAATGTCAAATGAAAGTAACTTGGTACCTACTATCCAACAAAGCAGGGGAAGGTGCAATATAAATAAAATTAAACCTTGGGTAAACAGGTAGAAAATAAGGATATAAACAAAGGAACTACAACAAGTACTTCATTGACTCATGGTTGAAGAATAAAAACCACATATATACCAGAGACAATTCGCATACATTTGACTGATAATATAACATGTAGAATCAAAGGAAATCATTCACCAATGTCTCATTTAGTGAATCAAGCTTGTGTCCATGCTGCAAAAAAATGCACAAAACAAGATTGATATTAAGATGTAATGAAACATAATCTGGATCAATTCATTCAATGAGAAAGAACTAATCTCCTAGTGGAGATATCAAAGGAAACTTAGTGATTACCTTTCTCATGTTGGGTGATAATCATCCAAGTCTCAAAATTGAATGAAAATACGGTATTGACCATAGAGAGACCTGTGAGTCATGAAAATTATCTGCAAATCTTCTTCCATATGTTTAGCATGTTTCAATTTACATATTTCATCAAGCATTAGTTACAAGTACCACTCAAGCAAAAAAAACCTATAAATTTAAACAAAAATTTAGAACATAAACTAGAAATAACATAACAAATTGAAATCAAAGTAAAAAGTGAAAGACAAACCAAATTAGGATGCCTTTTCAATTAATGTTATAATTTTTTTTGAAGAAGCAAAATAATTTAAAATAAAAAAGGAACTCACTAGAACAAGGTATGCTAGGAGAAAAGCATGGTCAATACAGCAAGAGTTCTGCAACTGAGTTAAAATCTACACCAAAAACAGCCACCCCCAATTACACCTTCTTCCTACATACAAACAAGTCCCCTCTCACTACAAACAAAAAAAATCTCAAGACTACAAATACCAGGAACACCTAGATTCAACACAGGTAGCACCCAAAGTAACAAAACAAGAAAGAACTTCCAAATCAGCCCCAGAAAAAAACCAATACAAAAGTAACAGACTGCAAAATGCACACCTATGGCAATGTAACAAAGGAACACACCAATTTTTACTAACCCTGTCTCTTGAAATTTGCAGCAGCGAGCTCGACTATAGAAGGCGAGTCGATAGAACAACCTGCTAACAGTTAACATAGACGACCACAACGAGCTCGACTATAGAAGGCGAGTCAATAGAACAACCTGCTAACAGTTAACATAGACGACCACAACAGTAAAACTGTATCGCGCCAAATTAGAATGACAGACAAATAATCATCGGATGTTATTCGAGATACTCCACAGTCCTAGAAACACGACCAAGATAACCCGCACATACAAATATTGGAAGTACAGTAGAGTTGACACAACCTGATAATACCGACGACATTCCACCCGTTTTATATCTCAGATATATTGACGAGTAGTTGATCGAGAAAAACGAGAGTCTTCTGTTAAAATGATGCCCATATGTCACCAGAAATAATCACAAACACTTGATGTGCATGTTCACCAATTTTAATTTGTAAATAAAAAGACATCTATAATAATCTTAACAAAGACTTAACTATAGAACTCACATTTAAAGAAGACCTAGAACAGAGTTTCTCGTTAATGTTAAATAAAATATGTTTTTATTTACACAGGACTTATCACAAACACTTGGTGTGCATGGTTTATGGATATTAATGTGTAAATAAAAACACCTTCTATTCATATATTGAATAAAATTCATATACTCAGATCTAAGAAATATCAATAAGTTAAACATGGAGGAAAGAAACTAAAGATTATACCTGTGATCTGACGAGTAAAGAGAGCGACACGAATGCGAAGGAAATGGGGAGGGCGGCGCGAGGCGGGAAGGAAAGAAACTGAACCACGTTACATGTTAAGCTAAGGTTTTCTTTTATTTTTTTAATTCATTTAAGTAAAAAACCTTTATTTTTAAACTAATTAATATTAAATAAGTTAATTATTGCATAAAAGACTTAACTGAATATTTTTATTTTAAAAAGTGGGAAGCTTTCAAAACGCTTATTATTGTGAAATCATAAACAGTTAAGTAAATAACGGCCGTTGAAACCGCCATTTTGTTACTATAATTATCTCGTTTAAGTAAACCGACATAATTTACGGTAAATAATGACGATTTTTATTAACCGCGATATTTAAACCGTCACAATTTATGCAAATTTTTAGTGTATTTTCTTTCAATCTCGCTAAGTTTTGTGAATTCTTGCATCATTTTCAAAAATTAATTTTTCTAAGTCTCAACTTCACTTCTCAACTTCACTTGTTGAATGAATTGTCCAATTTAGCGATGTCAGTGGTATATGACATTCTAATTTCAAATAAACTTGAAAAAAGTGCCGCAACTTTATCCAATACACATAATATGATCAATTAGATTTTAAGGTGGGGTGGTGTGAAGTAGAAAAAATGTTTTTGAGAAACCATATCTTATTAGATCAATACACACCTTATTATACTCACATGCTATAACATGATCCATTTCAGGGAAGCACGTCAATTTTTCTTCTGGTGTTCGTCCGCTAATGTAAGGAATAAGAGATTCTTGAATTACATCAAAATTTTCTTCTTTTTTTCCGTATAGTCGTGTGTATGATTCTTTATGGCCTTTCAACTCTTTGATAAGTTGTTGGTGGACAAATGTATGAACCTCCTCTCCTTTATGTGAGTGCAACTTTCCTCTAGATTTATTTTGAATGATGTCAAAATTGTGACAACATAGCATTTGTGTTCATTGGACGATATCTCCAAGTTTAGTGTGGCATCTTGTTCATTTAGAAGTCTTAAGGAACCTTAGGAGTCATCTTAAACAAGTTTGAAAGTGGTCTAATGCATTAAAAATCATTTTTTGCACAAAATTGTATTGCATGTGCCTACACATACGTGTTTCAGGTCGACACATGAAACCCGATAATGAAGCATTTAGCTATTATCCAGCTTCGGTCAATGCATGTTCTCTTACAGGTCGGCACATACGGCTAAAAAATGAAGCGTGTGCATTCTGTGATGCTTCAGATGAAACATACAACTGGCTTTTGTCCATGTGCCAACACATCCGAGTTTTAGATCGACACATGTTGATTATTTGAGTCATATTCTTTTAATTCCTTATTTCCTAAAATTTCCTTTTTGTCATACAACTTACGCAACTATAAATATATCATTCATGGATCATTCCAACTTGATGAAACTATAAACACATATTGCATTTTCTCTTCATCTTCAACCTTCAACCTATGCATACACACTGATAAATCACACATAATCATCTTTTGTCGGGGTTCCATCTAGGCAAGATTTGATAACGTCTAATTAGATTTTTGTGTAGCCGAGAATATTAGGTTGAGATTTGTAGGAGATTTCATCCGGAAAAACCGCGAGTTTGTTCTCCAGGATCGTTGATTGATTTAGGGTTTTTTGTGCAAGGCATTTAAGAGAGAATTGGAGCCTAGTGAAAGCCTTTGGAGATAAAGAATGCAAATGAAGTAACGCGAGAATGACAAATTGAACTGAAGTATTGTGTGCAATAGGTATAATTGATCGTGCGCGAAAGCTTTGGAGATAAAGAATGCAAAGGAGTAGCAATATCGACAAGTTAATTGGTAGTTATTGTGTCTTGGTATTTCTCAAGATCAAAAGAAGAGAAGGGGTTGAATCAACAACAAACGGTTAGGGTTTGTAGAGTTTCTCTAGGAACACTTCTCTTGTATAAACTTTTTGCATAGTAAGAATTTATCCTAATTCCAAAATTGGAATTAGGGAGAGACGTAGCCATATCGAGGACTATTGGTGATCTTTCTAAACAAATCCTTATGTCTCTTTTTTTATCTCTTTACTTGCTTTAAATTTCATCAATCAATTTGTCTAATAGCATTGCATAATCGATCGAATCGTAAGAATTTTTCTGTGGCTGTTTTGTTTTGAATTAGGTGTTGATTTTCTTGTAGTCACTTTTGATTATAAGTGATTTTTTATCAACACAACTTAAAAGGAAATTTCTGAAAATTCAGTCGCACACCAAGTGTTCAACAAATTATTTTGTTTATTCTTTTAATAGTTATCATTGGAAATAATATTGCTAGTAACTTGTTACAAATGATTAATACGTTGTTACTTAATTGAAGTTTATAATTTCCATATTATATTGTTCATTCTATAATTATTTTTATATTTGCATATCCGACTTTCAATAGCTTGGTTCGTATAGACGACAAATTTTAAAAACCTTCCGCGTGCACTCTTTCTTAATCACTTTTAAAACCAGAATTTTATCTGGATTTTTTGGCTTGGTGATCTATTCACCTCCCTCTAGATAAAGCGTCATCGTCTAACACTTTACTAAACAAAGTAGAAACAAATCGAAAATTACATTTACTGTCACCCTAACATTGACGATATGTTCAATGTATTAATGCATTAAAACTGGCATCTTGTCGATGAATTGGAATTTTGTAAAGGTTAGAAGAACTAATGCACCTGGACCTAAGAAGATTTGGGTACCAAAGTTTAAATTCTAGTATGTTTTCCAGGGATACTTTGTAGCTCAAAGTCATATTATTTATCAAATGAAGCCGTGCAAAACAAAAAGTATGCTTTCGAGTATACTGTTTTTTAAAGTCTTTGATCTAAGAATGATCATGATGGTGGATGTTAGTGATAATGATCAAAGCAAGGTTTCTCGTTAAGAATGATCTCAACATCTATGATCATTACTGATCGGCTGACCTCATAGTAGGTTGAGTGGATACGTTTGTGGTGGACATATCCATCTTGTTGTTTGTACTAACTCTCGCATCCAACGATTCATAGAGAAGGATACACCATAATATGTTGGTGTTCCTTTTAAAGAGGGGAGTTTTATCAAGGCTACTTTGAAGTTTCTTTTGTATTGGCTGCAATATGCAAAACAACATGGAGTATGTTTAAACTAGTTTTGGTGAAGAAGGGACACATGTGGAACCCGGTGTTCCAACATGTGTGCTGCAACATATGGTCTCTTACAACAAATGTATTCTATTGCAGTTATGGTTTGAGGTTATTCTATGCAAGATTCACCCTACAAAAAATCTACAGATTCAAGTTGAATAGTTAATTTGGATCTACAAACTTGTTGCAATATTTTAGAAATGGTTTGTTAGATTTGTTTGACATTTGGAGATGTTCAATCAACTTTAATTGATATTTGAATTTGAATTAGAAACAAATCATATATTCTTGTTGGAAATATTTGTGGAGAAGATCATATCCAACATATTTCTGCTATTTTCTGGAGGAAATCAAATAAGATATCCAAAGGAGAAAATCCCAGACGACATTGCTATATAAGGAGGCTCGGTCTCACTCTTGAGACATGTATTTTATGTGCAAGGATTAGTATAATTATGCTAGGGTTAAGTCTTTGTAACTTGTATTCCAAGCTAATGCCATAATAAGGGTTAGGGTAGAATCTTCGTGTATATCACTTTATGTTTCAGTAACTTGGCATAGTTGTTAGTTTGTCTTAGCTGAGTTGTAAATTCAACAATCAATAGAGTTGTTATTGATGTTGATCACTATGGGTTAGTGATTGAGAGAAAGTGAGAGGGGCTCTCATATTTAGGGAGAGTCCTAAATAGAAGTTCATCGGGTAATGTTAGGAAGATACATTGAACAACATGGGTTTATTGTTCCTATAAGAATAAGTGTATTAAGCTATCAATAATGAGTTTTCTTTCTTGAGTAGAGTGCCCTCCAAATGTAGTTGTGGTTTCACCGAACTGGGTTACCAATCTCTGGTGTTAATTATTGCTTTTACATTGACTCTGAATTATCCATCTGTGTGTTAAACCAACTTTAACTCGTTGTACCTTTTGTTCCAATATCGTGTTCGAAATTTGTCCCCTCGAGAACAAAATTTCAATTGGTATTAGAGCAGACACCTTATTCTCTTTCGGTGAGCTCTAGGGAGGATATTTTTTATTCACATGAAAAAGAATAAAGATGAAGGTTCAGTCAATATGCCACCTATTTTGGATGGCATAAATTATGACTATTGGAAAGCCATGATGGTTTCTTTCTTAAAATCCAGAGGCTGCTACGCTTGGAAGTTTGTGGTTAAAGGTTAGAGATATCATGTAATCACT